TTTTTTTTTTTCATTTTCACGCTCTCGCTATTGGCCAGTATATATTTCAAAAGCATCCTGCCCTGATGAAAGAGAAAAAGAATCCTTTTATTTATAATAAAGGCGGATGAAAGTTTGTCTGGTGTAATTTGTGTGTGTTGGAGATAGAGAAATGGCCAAAGAGAAAAACTTTTAAGGTATTCAGCGTTAAATGCGATTTATATGTTAGATAGCATTTTATTGTATGAAAGGCTCCTTGCCACCACAGTCACCTGAACTATAATATTATCTGTTCTTATCGGATACCGGGGATATTCTAGACTAGGATTTTCTGACTTATTAGTACTTTTATCATGTGATTTAAAGGATAAAATTTGTATAGTAAGAGATCATTATTATTATTATTACTATTATTAAGTTCCAGCGTCCACCTGCAGGTAACCATCAATCCCAGGCCATTGTCAGACCACGTCATCTAAGCTTCCTATAAACGAAACATTCTTGTCCTTTATTTACTTTTTTCTCGGTTATGGCAAACAATGGCTATACGGTTCACCGATATATGTATAGTACCTATTCTGATTTTCTGAAGCCACACTATTACCAAAACCTTCACCAATTTCTTGTCCTCTATCGTATGTCTATCAACCTCGTTTTGTAAAAACTAATAGCAGATTTTTCGAAAAAAAAACAATAAAAATAATTGTTGAATGTAGATTATTAAATCAAGATGTTTTTTAAGAAGTATTTTACAAAAATTAAAAAAAAAACCTTCATTATGTATTTTGTCATTAATTCTGTTCAGTGATTTTGTGACTAMATAAAATATTTAAGAATAAATTAGCCAATGTTAATTACTTGATTGCATTTATGTATTTCAAACCATTTATTTTATATATAGACATTTACATAAAATGTAATTTGCTATTTTTATGTAATTTATATCATATTTGAGAACAAAAAACATTTCATATTTATGATTTTAAATTGTATAGGTATCTAAAAAAAAAAAAATAATGGCTTAAATAATTTTTTTAATTATAATATGGTGATATCATTATACAACCTAAGTATTTTGTGTACGCGTGATTATGTTATATACTAAAATATATTATATAATATATTTTATGGTGATAAATATTTTACCAATATAGCCTATTACCGAATACCTATACATTATGAACTCAGAACAAACTATTATGCTAGTAAGTTGCTTCTAGCTCCATAATTAGCATTTTAGTATTCAAAATGATCGATCCAAAAGTTTTGAATTCTCTTTGATATTTGATGGGAATATATAAAATATGAAATCTCTTCACTAACTTCGAAAAACTATTATTTTTACATGAAACTTTTATATTTACGGGCACAACATAAAATTGCTTTAATAAAATATTGTATTCCCCAAAATGGTTTATATATATAGCTTATAATGTAGTTAACTGAAAAAGAAAATATGTAGGTATAATGTAAATTGAAAATGTAAATGATCTTATCCCTTTAAACACTTTGTTTACTTCCATTTAATATTTTGTTGATTCAATTTAAAACAAACTCTGAACTCGGTGCAAGACAGTAATGGAAGTATTATGAACTATTTTTAATTAGAATGAAACTATAATTTAATAAAGCGTTAAAAAAATAAATAAAATGATTTTGAGGAAAAGTCTATTCTTTAAGTTCACCAAAAAAATGGCAAAGATGTTTTCAAAAATAAGTACTTGTTCCTATACATTATTTATACAATTGGTTTTTAATTTACCATTTTATGAAAAGAATTGATAAACGTAATAAATGCCTCACAGAGTACATTTAAGGTGTCCTGTATATGCTCACGTTCACTTATATAAATGCAACGTGTATTTTTTGTAATCGATTTTTCACTTTTTGAAAGTACCTTCTTCATAAAAAATTCTAAAACATAAATTACCAATCGGTAAAATCAATCGCTCTGATCAGAATCAAAAGCACTATAATATTTTTCAAATTTTCAATCACATAAAGAACATTTCATATACCTAGGTAATGATAAGCAATTGAGCAACAAGTTTTATTTTACGAAGTAGACTTAATTCTAATCTCTTATATTATTATAATTATTATTATTTATTGTTCTTTATTAAYATCGTCTGATTCGTCTGTAATGGCTGTTAGTTACATTTTTTCTCTTATATTAGGTTGTATAATTTGGTATTTTTTTTAAACTTTAAAATTAGTGTGCTGGTGTCCGCTTCTAGTCCGAGTGCTGAGTCTGAGATGTTCACTAAGTTTAGGTTGCTTATTTCGTCTGTGTATTGGCGGAATTTTGTAGTTATGTGGTTGACTGAGAGTACAGTTCCACAATAATTGAACCGGCTTGATTTCTCTAATATTGTTATTTTTATCTTCTAATCAGAATAAGTGTGTAGTAATATCTAATACTTAATAGTACATTTTATAAAACAAAAATACGTGTGCTTGTTGTGGAATACTCGCACATTGTAGCTTTGTATATTATGATCAATGTACCTACATCATATTATTTTTTTTATTGACTCGACTGTCGGTGATCGTTGCAGGAGAATGAACGTGACGGGATTTTGGAACGATTTGCCGGATGATGAGCACAGGGCGTGTGGGGCCAGAGTGACGGTGGGCACGTATTACGTGCTGTTTGCAGACGTCGTGCACGGCCGATTTGTAGCCAAAGACAGACAAGGCGCGTTGGTCGAGTGGACAGACGGCAACGAAAGGGCCGTGTGGCACGGACTTGGTGAGTAGCACACAATGTGATAAACATAATAATATTAATATGGAATGATAAATTATTTATATATTATTTTGTAAGGCGTACCTATACGTAAGAAAACGTATATTTTGTTATTGTATAGTAAAAATAACGTAATGAGATTATAAACCAGCGATTGGATGATATGAATTAGCGTAAAAATTTATGGTCGAGGTTTATATACCTATATACTAAATTAGTTGTAATTCATTCTACAACCAATCTTACAAGTGCGTACTCGATATTTTTCGCYACAAGGAAAGTCTATGAATCATAAATTAATTTTTGTTAATAAAGATAACGAAGAAAACGAAAAATCGGTCTGCAGAAACAAAAAATGTGTATCCAGCCCAAAAGCATATTTTATATTAATATATTATTTTTATTTTCACAGCGTATCTAGCATAATTCTTAAGTTTTTTACTTTTTTGAATGACAACYTAGAGTTTTAATTTCATATTCCAAAGCAGAATATTTTTCTAAGTATTTTGATACGTAAAAATCGAATTTTGGACGAGTAGTTTATGAGTTATAAGTATTTAAAGTTTAGTTTGGCGGAGTGGAGTGGTACGGGGTTACCCCGCAAAATGTTTGTCCATTACTCCGCTTGTCTAAACTTAAAATACTTATAACTCATAAACTACTCGTCCAAAATTCGATTTTTACGTATCAAAATACTTAGAAAAATATTCTGCTTTGGAATACAAAATTAAAACTTTAGGTTGTCATTCAAAAAAGTAAAAAACTTAAAAAAATATAAGGATAAAAAATATTAAAATACATAATTTTTTAATAAAAACGTTGTTTTTTTAACAACATGAAACTTTGTAAAAAAATATTTTCAAAAACATTGATAYTTTTTGAAATAATGAGTGGTTCATGATAAAAAAATCACCCTGTATATTGTATATTTATGTATGTTTATATTATAATGGTCATGTATGGATACGTGCAACAAAAATGTTAATTTGCTTTGGTATCAATATTAAATACAGAGTTATGTGAACAAAAACATGTGCGAGTACATTTTGACCTATCTTTGTGTAAGCCTCGATCGACAGTATCAAAAACTGTTTTTTATACAAAAAAGAGCGAAACTGGAAGTCAGGAGTAAAAATGAATCTTTACCATTTGTATACGTTGTCATTAAACAACAATTCATCACTTATTGGTTTCCAAATATTATTATACGTATTCGGTATTACATCGGTAAACAAAAAAAAAAAAATGTTATTTTTTGGTGGGAATGGAGGGGGGGTCGGGGTTATAAATATTTTATAAAATTATTTCCGTGTGCACTGTGTATGATAAATAATCAAAAATTGCATAATGGTATGGATGTACCATTCTATGTCCCTGCGAGAGTAATACATTTTAATTTAACTGTAGAAGATCTATTAACTTAAAGCCGCCGTTTAATAACTAGTATAGGTTGTATTGTTGTAACCTTATTATGATATGTTTCTTTCGGCTACCTACAAAACATATTTACTATTTAGTATATTAAAAATATATCGTAAATATTACGTTCGTGTATTGAATCTATAACACTAATCTACTTATTTCATACACTATGACATATAGTGAATTTTATTTTTCATAATAATTATTGGTCAATTTTCCTCTGAATTTGGTAAAAACTATTTTTTTTACACCGTCCCCAATTATTTGATTGAATATTATAAACCGCATATAYGCAATTCAATTTTTTGTTTAAGATTGATAAATGCTGATTCAAATAGTATCGACTATAGGTATCGTAATAAAATAATTAATGAAGTTATACTACAGTCTGGTGATTTATTCGAATATTATTAATATGTTTACATTGATAAAATTGGCTCAAATTATTAAATGAGTTTTAAAAATCAAAAATCAATTCCTATCGAATAGTCCTTTATAAATAAGATTATGTGTAACCACTACCTGGAGAGRAACTGTACTTAGATACTACACGGATGTAAAATGTTTCGCTTGGTTTTGTTTTATATAAGTATAAGAGATWAGAGACTCGTAAGGGTATAGAGTGTTGAACGTGAGTACGATGCTAATTTTAAAAATCGTACAATGCCCGGAGTAACTTCCCATACCATCGAAATTGTTTTTCACTTCAGTCACCATGACACTAGAAACCTAAGAAGCTTCCGTTGATCGGATTTGAGTAGGTTTGCATATAATATAACTCTATATCCGTCACGTTCTATGTCATCGTCAAATCGAATTGTTTGATTTAGCACCAACATCATCATTATTATCGCCGCGCTGTTTGATACAACTTAGCTGTTAGATGAAAGTAGAGAACGTATAACTATTGCATAGGCCAATGAATTATATTTATTGAGATCAGTAATTCACATAATATGACGCTACGATATTTTCTGGGTCTAGTATAATATAAAATATTCCATATTAAATAATATGTTGTCTATATCTGGAACCAATAACGTACAATATAGGCATATATTATAGGGGTTGGCAGTCGCCAGAAGACAGTTTTTGCAAGCTTATTTGGCGTAGTTAACGGGGTAACGATGTTTTATATTCGACTCACACTATATATGTATTTTTCTGGACTAATGTTTTTCACTCTGTCCACATAAAAGTCCTCTCGCATTTCACAATGTAGACCGACAGAATTAAACCACGTTATTCGGACCATTGATCGTTACTAACACTTTTCCGTATATATATATATATTATATGTTTAGAATTAATAGAGAGATCTGGACAATTTATGTTGATCATAGTCAATGGACAATGAAAAAAAATTCATCCGCATAATGGTCACGGTCTGAGTTGAGGACACGAGAGGAAAAATTACTTTTTCTTCCGTCGTCGTATGTAGTTGTAGTGAGTTGTAACAATTCAATATTTTAGGAAATAATATGTATACAATAAACAGCGCAGTTGTAGAATCGTATTTAGTCATATAGGTACTAAATATTATATTATATGTAAAAAATCTATGTTTTGTTTTTATTTTGAAGTTTATGAATTCTTTATCTTTTTTAATATTTCTCATGTAAGTTGTATGAAGAGGGCTAATGTAATTTAATACTTCGTCTCAGTTTAATTATATTTTATGTAGTTGAGGTATACGTATATAATATAATACAAATAGCACAAACATTATAGGTATAGTTAAAGCTTTCCATGAAAATAATGTGGTTCATAACATCGTAGGCGTAATTATTTGTTATTTTTATTGGATTTTTATTTGCCCATGTATAATATTAATTACTCGTCAAACAGAATGGCCTATTTTCTCAATTGCTGCAGAAAATTTGAATATAAGGTTGTTGAAAAATGGTTTCATGTAGGTACATGTTAGAAATATTTTGTCAGATCTTAATTTCAGTTAGGTATGATACTCTACATTGTTATCATAAAAAAAAATATATTATCCTTCTTTTCTTACCATTAGTATTAGATAGGATCTGGAACTGTTAGAACCAATAACATTGGTAAAGAATTTTTTTCGAATTTTGAAATGTTTTTACGTCTTTTATGAAAATCGGTATCTATACAATTTTTTTTTTGTATGCGAGGCCAATTGAACTGGCTTAGTGTTTTGAATTTAACTTGATTGTCAATGTTTATATTAGTAAACTCAGGCTCAGAATTAGCAATTACATAAAACAATAAATATTTTTATTTCTTCACAGTGTAACATATTGTCTATTATCATTGGTGTCGAGTGAGGTCGAAAGTAAAGAACGATTGGTGCGTTTAGATTGTATATTGTTGTTTATTATTTTACATTTTTTGATCATATTTTTTACGACTTGGTCGTTAATTATTTTAATAAACATCATGGCGAGGAAAACTTTAGAAGCACTGTTATTCAGCATAATTATTTTGTACTCGTATTATCTTAAACCAAAGGTCAAGTACGTACATAGGCGTCTTGGTTATTGAGATACAATAACTTCGATAAATATGCTCTATATTCTATAATAATATAATTATTAAAATTAAAACAATTAATATTCTCCTTCCTTCAGCGGTGATTGACGATTTCATGATATAAACTGAATAGTTTTCGATAATTATGAATTCATATCGATTGATGTAGGTTCGAGAAATATATTTGTCGAGTTTAAGGGAACTTAGAGACTTAGGAACTAATAAAGTTAACGTTATAGAGAAATAATGATACCATGTGTGTGTTGTTAGCTGTTCACACGGCTCTGTTTTTAAACTTTGAAACAAAATTTCTTTGCACACCCAAGTAATAAATAAAACTGATAAATTAGTAACATCATTTTTCTACAAGGATGTTATAATATTTTTAAAGTGATAATTATTGTATATTGGAGGATTGGTCCTTATAAATTATGACCACAAAAAACATTATAATGATTTAAAATATGTTTTCTTACTTCGTATCATAATCATTCATACTCATTATACTAACATCTTAATTTTTATACATTGTGATAGTTTTATATTGAAACATGTTCATAAGGAATAAAAATCTAAAAATTAAAAATATACAGACTAATATAGTGACAATAACTTTTGTATTACTCAACAGTGTAATTTAATGAAATAAGTAATTAACTATGATAGAAAATTATTATTATATTATTCGTACAACAATGTTTTACTACCATTTCAACACAGATTTAAATTGAATTGAACCACAATGAGAAACACCAACAAATACGGTTTAAAATTCAAGTAAATGAATAAAAATGAATTGTAGAAATGACTWAACAATTTCTGTATGCAATACTTATTCGGCCCCGCATACGATAAATAATTATTACAAAAACAAATGTTTTGGGTTTCATACTTACATATATGTTATATCATGTATATTATTTGCAGGTATAGTGTAGTTGTTTATTGGATTTATTGTTTAATTAAACCCTTTTGTATCTAAACGCTATGTAAAGTATTCACTATTCCGCCACGGTGTTCATGTTCAAAACCATGTTATTTTTGTAGAATAACAAATTTTGACGTAATGTGTATTTCAC